TATGGAACCATCACCACTATTCATCTCCAGAACTTTTTTTCCATACCCAAACTCTGGACCCATTCAGTAATAATTCCCTAATTCCCTCCCCACCAGGCTCTGGTGACCACCATTCTACTTTTATTTCTATTAATCTATTTTAGGTACATTTATATAAGTGTGGAAACATTAAATATTTATATTTTTGTTTTTGGCTTTTTTCACCTAGCATAATGTTTTAAAGATTTGCTCACTCGCGTTGTGGCATTTACCAAAATTACCTTCCTTTTTCTTTTTTTTAAAGATTTTTTTATTTTTGGGATGCCTGGGTGGCTCAGTTGGTTAAGCAGCTGCCTTCAGCTCAGGTCATGATCCCGGCGTCCTGGGATCGAGTCCCACATCGGGCTCCTTGCTCTGCGGGGAGCCTGCTTCTCCCTCTGCCTCTGCCTGCCATTCTGTCTGCCTGTGCTCGCTCTCTCTCTCTCTCTCTCATAAATAAATAAAATCTTAAAAAAAAAAAAAGATGATTTAAAAAAAAAAAAAGATTTTTTTATTTTTAAGTAATCTCTCCACCCAACATGGGCCTCAAACTTACAACTCCGAGATCAAGAGTCACATACTCTACCAACTGAGGCAGCTAGCCAGGTTCCCCAGAATTTCCTTCCTTTTTAAGGAATATATTTAAGGAATATATAAGAAATATTATAATATTTCTTTTTAGGTATATACCACATTTTGTTTACCTATTCCTTAGTTGATAGACAGTTAAGTTGCTTCTACTTTTGGCTGTTATGAACAATTCTTCTATGAATATGGTCGTATAAATATTTCTTTAACTCCCTTCTTTCAAATCTTTTCTGTGTATACCTAGAAGTGGAATTACTGGATCATATGGTAAATCAATGTTTTATTTTCTTGAGGAACTGCCATTTTATATTCCCACCAACAATATACAAGGGTTCCAATATCTCCACACCCTGGCCAATACTATTTTTTTTCTCTTTTCTTCCTTCCCTCTCTTTTTAATAATAGCCACCCAAAAAAAACCAAATTGTGGTTTTTTAAAAAAAAGTTTATTTATTTACTTATTTATTTAAGTAATCTCTACACCCAATGTGGGGCTCAAACTTAACAACCCTGAGATCAAGAGTTGCACACTCTTCCCGCTGAGCCAGCCAGTTGCCCCTCTTATTGTGGTTTTGACAGGATTTCACTAATGATTAGTGATCTTTCCATGTCTTCTTTGGAGAAACGTCTATTCAAGTCCTTTCCCCATTTTTTAATCAGGTTACATTGTTGTTGAGGTTTAGAAGTTCTTTATATACTGTGGATATTAATCCTTTATCACATAGATGATTTGCATGTATTTTCTCCCATTCTGTAGGCTACTTTTTTTTCCACTTTTTAAAAAACTTTAAATTCAATTAATTAACATATGATGTACTATTAGCTTCAGAGATAGAGTTCAATGATTCATCAGTCTTGTATAATACCAGTGTCCATTACATCACATGCCTTCCTTTTTTTTTTTTTTTTTTAAGATTTATTTATTTATTTATTTGACGGACAGAGATCACAAGTAGGCAGAGAGGCAGGCAGAGAGAGAGGGTGAAGCAGGTTCCGTGCTGAGCAGAGAGCCTGATGCAGGAATCCCAGGACCCTGGGATCATGACCTGAGTCAAAGGCAGAGGCTTTAACCCACTGAGCCACCCAGGCGCCCCATCACCTTCCTTCCTTAATGTCCATCTCCCATTTGCCCCATCCCCTCACCCACACCCCTCCAGGAACCCTCAGTTTGTTTCCTATGATTAAGAGTCTCTTATGGTTTGTGTGGGCTACCTTTTTACTTTGTTGATAGTGCTCCTTGGTGCACAAAGTTCTTAATTTTGATGAAGTACAATTTGTCTTTTTCTTTTGTTGCCAGTGCTTTTGATGTCATAGCCAAGAAATCATGCCAAATCCAGTGTAGGGAAGCTTTTCCCATATGTTGTCTTCTAAGAGGTTTTTCATTTTAGGTGTTATGATTAGGTCTTTGATCAATTTTGAGCTTATTTTTTGATATGGTGTTAGGTAAGGATCCAACTTATTCTTCTACATGTGGATATCCAGTTTTCTCAGCACCATTTGTTGAAGAGACTGCCCTTTCCCCATTGAATGGTTGAAAATCATTTGACAATACATAAGAGGGCTTACTTCTGGATTCTGTTTCATTGATTTATATGTCTGTCTTATGCCAGCACCATATTGCTTTGATTACTGTAGCTTTATAGTAGGTACTGAAATCAGGAAGTGTGAGTCTTCCAACTCTGTTCTTCTTTTTTTAAAAGATTTTATTTATTTGATAGAGCACAAGCAGTGGGAGCAGCAGGCAGAGGGAGAAGCAGGCTCCCTGCTGAGCAAGGAGCCCAATGCAAGACTTGATCCCAGTACTGAGCCAAAGGCTTCTGCTCAACCAACTGAGCCACCCAGGCACCCCTCTTCTTTTTCAAGATTGTTTTTACTCTTTGGGTTTCCCTGAGATTTCGTATGCATTTTACAGTTTTTTCTTTTAGTAACATGGGGCTCAAACTCACAACCCCACTTTCAAAACTCACATGCTCTTCCGACTGAGCCAGCTAAATGCCTCTCAGGCATTTTAGAATGGAATTTTCTATTTTTGCAAAAAAACGTTTTTGCAAAATCATTGGGATTTGGTAAGAGTTGCATTGGATGTGTAGATCCATGTATCTTAATATTAAGTGTTCTAATCCATGAACATGGGATGTCTTTCCATTTAAATATATCTCCTTTAATTTCTTTCAGCAATGTTTTACAGCTTTCATTGTACAAGTCTCTTACTTCCTTGGTTAATTCCTAAGTTTTTTTGTTTTTGTTTTTGTTTTTGTTTTTGAGGGGCAGAGAGGGAGGGGGAAAGAGAGAATCTTAAGCAGGTTCCATGCCCTACACAGAGTCCGATGTGGGGCTCAATCTCATAACCCTAAGATCATGTCCTGAGCTGAAATCAAGAGTCGGACACTTAACTGACTGAACCATGCAAGCACCCCAGTCTTTTTACTTTTTGATGCTATTACAAATGGATTGTTTTATGATTTCCTTTTCACATCATTTGCTGATAATTTATAGAAATGTAACTGATTTTTGTGTGTTGATTTTTTTTTAAAGACTTTATTTATTTGACACAGAGAGAGATCACAAGTAGGCAGAGAGGCAGGCAGACAGAGAGAGGAGGGGAAGCAGGCTCCCCACTGAGCAGAGAGCCCGATGTGGGGCTCAGTCCCAGGACCCTGAGATCATGACCTGAGCCAAAGGCAGAGGCTTAACCCACTGAGCCACCCAGGCACCCCGTGTGTTGATTTTTTTTTTAAAGATTTTATTTATTGGGACGCCTGGGTGGCTCAGTTGGTTGGACGACTGCCTTCGGCTCAGGTCATGATCCTGGAGTCCCGGGATCGAGTCCCGCATCGGGCTCCCAGCTCCACGGGGAGTCTGCTTCCCTCTCTGACCTTCTCCTTGCTCATGCTCTCTCTCACTGTCTCTCTCTCAAATAAATAAATAAAATCTTTAAAAAAAAAAAAGATTTTATTTATTTATTTGAGAGAGCACAAATGGGGTTGGGGTGAGTGACAGAGAGAGAGGAGGAAGCAGACTCCCCGCTAAGGAGGGAGCCCAGTGTAGGGCTCAATCCCAGGACCCCAAGATCATGACATGAGCCAAAGGCAGACGCCTAACCAACTGAGCCACCCAGGCACCCCATGTTTTGATTTTTGTATTCTGCGACTTTAGTGAGTTTATTAATTCTAGCAGTTTTGTGTGTAGAATCTTTAAGATTTCTACATACAAGGTCATATTGATCAGAGATAATTTTACTTCTTCCTTTCCAATTTGGATGCCCAGCCCCCCCCCCCTTTTTTTTTTTACTTAATTGCTCTGGCTGGGATTTCTTTTTCTTTTTCTTTTTTTTAATTTAATTTTATTTTTTCTGGCTGGAATTTCTAATCCTATGTTGAATTAAAGTGACAAAGGCTGGCACGAATTTCTTGTTCTTTAATCCTATCATTTTATAAATATGAAAATGTAGGCCTAGAGAAAGGCATTTACTTGCCCATAGTTATACAGCAAGTTGATAGCAAAGCAGGAACTGGCATCCAGACCTTTTTAACTTCTGATCCAGTATCCTATCCATTATATTAGGTTGGCAGCAATTTTTTTTTAATTCAAATAAAACTGACAACATTCTATAGAATGACACAAATTAAAGATCAAATGTGGACATATTTCAGAGACTTGACTTGAAAAACCAATGATTTCTCTAAGTGCATTAGTGAGGATAAACACCACTCAGCAGTGATTGTGAGAAAAGAAAGAACAAAAATGTTCCAAGACAGTCTTCAAAGACATCCCAACTTTGCTGGAGTGCTCTATAAGCCCACTTAGATTCTGTAGTCTTCTATGGGTGAAGGAGACAGTGCGGGGGGTTCTGCAGGGCCTGGCATGGTAGCGGGGACTTGCTCTAAATCCAGAGTGGAGGGCATCTCCCTGGCTTCATCACTTTTCTTGGTAAATCTCTTTTCTCTGATGGTCATAGTGACTCTGCACCTGGTCACCCTGAAGGCCAGGTCTCCATAGGGTGGGTTTTTGTCATTGACTGTGGGCCTTTTCTGAGCCATGGCCTTGATCTCAGAGGACTCAAGGAATTTGGGTTCACGGCACCCATGTATCTTTTGATCCCAGTTCAGTTTGGGACCCCTTTCACACTTCAGCTCATGGTCTTGGGAAGAAGTGCCCCTGTTACAGACTTTGGGTATGGAGAGCTGGTTATGGAAAGAGGCAACATGATTCTCTTAATCTGTGTTTACTCTAGAATGTGACATTAATAAATCATAATAGATGACAATGTAGAGAAATTTTAGTGTTATGTTTTGCTATTTGATTTAACTCCTAATTTTTATACCTAGTGCATATAATGTAAATGAAGTTTACTTAACTTTCTAATGTTATTATTCTTCTCTGCATTTCTTCAGTGCAGTTACAATTGGAACTGATATGCTGGAATTGGATTGCCATATCACAAAAGATGAGCAAGTTGTAGTGTCCCATGATGAGAATTTAAAGAGGTCAACTGGGGTCAATGTAAACATCTCTGATCTCAAGTACTGTGTAAGTAAAAATGCATGATAAGCTAATATCTAGTAGATATTAGGGCCTGTAGGATTTTTAAAAACAAATAATGCCAGATAGTGCTTCAGTAAATGATAGTGATTAAATAATGAATGCCAGAGGAAATTATAAAAACTATTCTAACTTCCAGGGAGGATTTATACTCACTACAGAAATCTGTGGATACATCTTCGGAGAGTTATTTTTATAAGTATTTTAACAAGATTACCGAAGTCCTCAAATGTGAAACTACTGGATTTCAACTTGTTTGAAGTATACTACAATTTATTTGGTTCAGATTGAGTGTATGAATTAGTTTTAGTCTTCAAGAATAGGAAATCTGATTTTAGTAGTTTACTTGCTATTATATTAGAGACTGATAAGTGGATGGAAGATAATGCTTTATTTTACCACCTAAAGAAAACTTATGTTAACAGAATACCATCTGTATGTGTACCCTGTATATTCTTTGCCTGGTTGTGGTCCTACTGTATATTATAGAGAATTGTGTTTTTGAACACTTTAACATTATGGCATGATGCACATTTTTCCATGCTTTTTTTTTAATTTATTTTTTTTAAGTTACCTTTTTTTTTTTAAGATTTTATTTATTTATTTGACAGAGAGAGAGACAGCAGGAGAGGGAACACAAGCAGGGGGAGGGGGAGAGGGAGAAACAGCCTTCCCGCTCAGCAATGCTCAATCCCAGGACCCCGGGACCATGACCTGAGGTGAAGGCAGACACTTAACGATTGAGCCACCCAGACACCGCAGGCTTTTCTTTCTTTTTCTTTTTCTTTTTTTTTTTTTTAAGATTTATTTATTTTAGAGGGAGAGTGAGAGAGAGTGAAAGCAGGGGGAGGGGTAGAGGGAGAGTGAATCCTCAAGCAGACTCCCTGTGGATCCAACGTGGGGCTTGATCCCAGGACCCTGACATCATGATCTGAGCCGAAACCAAGAATCAGATGCTCAACCACCTGAGCCACCCAGGCTTCCCACTTTTTCTTTTTCTTCTTCTTTTTTTTTAAATAGACTAGTTTTTAGAGCAGTTATTGGTTTACAGTGGAATTGAGCAGAAAGTACAGAGTTCCCACATAACTTCTGACCCTGCACAGGTCTTGTCCCCCCACTCTCCCTTCAACATCCTGAACCAGAGTGGTATATTTGGTACAATCTATGAACCTACAGTGACACTCATTATCACCTCAAAATCCATAGTTAACATTAGGGTTTATTCTTAACATAGGATGACATGTGGGTTTTATCGTATAATGTGTATCAACTATTGTAGTGTCATACATAATAGTTTTACTGCCCTAAAAATCCTGTGTTCTGCCTGTTCATCCTTCCCCCCCACCTAACCCCTGGAAACCACTGATCTTTTTATTGTCTCCATAGTTTTACCTTTTCCAGAATGTCATGTATTTGGAATTGGTGGCATTTAGCCCTTTCAGATCCCATGCTTATTTTTCATAAACATTTCAAGTGACTGCAATTATTCCATTGAGTGAATATAGAGGAATTTTTAACCATTCTTTCTCTGTTGTTTGGCATTTAAATAGTTTTACGTTTTCACCATTAGAGCTAACACTGCACTGAACACCTTCATGTGTAAAGATAAAGGTTTCTCTATATTTATATGCTTTATATAGAGTTTTTAAAAGATATATATTTATGAAGATATGTATATAAGTATATTTATTTATTGAAAGTGTCTATATAAAAATAAAATTATCTCTTTTTTTAGTATAAGTGGTGCCAAAGCAAGCACAAGTTATCTCTGTTTTTAAAATTATTTCCCTAAATAAACTCCCAGCAGGGAAATTATTGGGTAAAAGATTAGGAATATTTTAGTTTCTTTATATTGAAAATTGTTGGGGTGCCTTGGTGGCTCAGTGGGTAAGCCTCTGCCTTCGGCTCAAGTCATGATCTTGGGTCCTGGGATCGAGCCCCACATCAGGCTCTCTGCTCAGCGGGGAGCCTGCTTCCCTCTCTCTCTCTGCCTGCCTCTCTGCCTACTTCTGATCTCAGTTTGTCAAATAAATAAATAAAATCTTTACAAAAAAAAAAAAAAAAAAAAGAAAATTGTTATTGCCAGCTTGCTTTCTGAAAGTGTTTAAGAGTTCCAAAATCTAGGGCACCTGGCTGGCTCAGTTGGTAGAGCATGTAACTCTTGACCTCAAGGTTGTGAGTTCAAGACCACCATTGGTCTCAGAGATTACTTAAAGATAAAATAAAGTAAAAATTTCTTAAAAAGTGCTAAAATGTGGTGTTAGAGGAATTCCCATTTTGCTGTACCCTTACCATTATAGGGTATTAAACTATAACAAAAATTTCCTAAATTTAAAGTTTCAATTAGCATTTATTTGATTATTTGTGAGTTTAAAGATTTTTCTGTATGTTAGTCATTTTTAAAAATTGTCTATTCTTGACACTTGTCTACTGAGATACTGAAATTTATTATTATTATTATTTTAAATATTTTATTTATTTGAGAGAGAGACACACACAGTGAGAGAGGGAACACAAGCAGGGAGAGTGGGAGAGGGAGAAGCAGGCTCCCTGCTGAGCAGGGAGCCCAATGCAGGGCTTGATACTAGGAGCCTGGGATCATGACCTGAGCCAAAGGAGATGCTTAATGACTGAGCGCCCAGGCTCCACTGAATATTTATTATTGAGAAAAGGTCCACATTAAATAGTACAGATTTCTTTTCTTATAAGTTGTGAAAGTAAGTAGTTACCTGGTTAATTTGCTGTTCGGGATGTTTAGCTAAAGTGTGCCCTATGTCAACATAGGTATTTTTTTTTCTTTTATTTTTTGAAGAAGAAAATCTTTGTCTCACTGTAAGACACTAAAATATTTTTAAATTCTTGAGAGCTAACTTTTTTTAATCATATCTTTTAAAGGAACTCCCACCTTACCTTGGCAAACTGGATGTCACATTTCAAAGAGGTAATATTTCCCATTTGCAGCTTACATATTTACATTAAAGTGTATTCATTTACACTGAGAATTAGATATACATGTGTGTTTTCTTCTGATAGTAAGTTCCAGCTAAAAGGACTGCCCTCAATACTTACTCTCTCAGACCTACAAATCTGAAATCTTGACCCTGAGATGAAGGCTAGAGATTTAACTGGCTTGTTCTATCTAAATTTATGTACAGTTAATTTAAGCCTGAATACTAATTACAAGAAACCCAGATATTATTAGGGCTACTTTGCATTTCTGAAGCTTCAAATTCTAGATGATTATTATAATTTGTAGTAATAATCCATCATAAGTTAAAAAAAAAAATGAAAAGAAACTGAAAAAAACCCCTTTCAGATCCTTACTGATTCTATACCATTTGATTTTATGTCATTTCACTGCTCCCTATCTTAAATTATTAGAGAGAATTCTATTACTCAGATAAACCACCCATTTCCTGGTCACCATCACTTTTTAATCATCAGCATAGCAGTTTTCTATCTTGTGAGGGAATATTTCTCACAAAGGAACATGTTCCTTGGCCCAGTTTGTTGGATTTGTTAGACTGAAACATGTTAGGATGGAAAATACACCAGCTGGAGATGCAGGTTGCTAAGCGGGTAGAGCCTCACGCTGTCCCAATTCAGCCTCGGGTTTTAAATGATTCAAATTGTAACTTAGTAAAACTACAAGATGTTACATGTTATGGACCTTGGTGTGGTATGCTTTGAATATGGTTAAAACCTTGGTTAAATGTCAAGATCTAAAGAACTGTTAACTGCTCTGTGTACTAGGTTTAAAATTGGTCACTATAATTTCTCCTTGACTGGAAAATATAAGAAAGCCAAATAAGAATCAGAAAATTGTTTAAATTAGCTATTTCTAAAGGATGTTTAGATCTAAACATTGTTTGATGTTACTTTTCAGATAAGTATCATTAAGCTGTGTTAGTTTGCAGGAACATTTTTTTCATTCTTTCAGGATTATATTTGCCAAGCTATTATATATTTATGTCAATTATAGATTTGTGAAAGTTAAAATACTTCATAAGTCAAGCTTCTTTTTTATTTGGGGGGGGGGTTCATTTTGTTTTGTTTAATTTTTCCCCTTGCAGAGCAAAGCCAAAGCCTCACAAAGATTAAAAGTTCCTTTGAGGAAGAAATTTATTCTAATTTTTTTTTCAGAATTTATACTTCTTTTTTTTTAAGTTTTTATTTATATACCTTTTGTCATAAAGTCATAAAATTTATGAATATGCAATGACCTTTGAGACCATATAATTCTATCTCTTCCTGTTTTAGATAAGGAAACTGAGGCCTAAAGATATAAATTAACTTGATTAAGGTCATACAGCAAATAAATGACAGAGCTAGGACTTGAAATTAGGTCTCCTTCTAACCAGGCCAGTGTTCAGCTGTACCATGCTGCTTCTCCTTCTGAAGAGTCTTTTTCTCTCTCTCTTTTTTTTTTTTTTTTTTAATTAAGTAGGCTCCTTGTCCAACATGGGGCTTGAACTCATGACCCTGAGATCAAGAGTCACATGCTCTACTGTCTGAGCCAGCCAGGCTCCCCTAAAGAGTCTCTTTATTTTATTTATTTATTTTTTAAAAGATTATTTATTTATTTGACACACAGAGAGAGAGATCACAAATAGGCAGAAGTAGGCAGAGAGGCAGGCAGAGAGAGAGGGAGAAGCAGGCTCCCCACTGAGCAGGAGCCTGATGTGGGGCTTGATCCCAGGACCCTGGGATCATGACCTGAGCTGAAGGCAGAGGCTTAACCCACTGAGCCACCCAGGCACCCCAAGAGTCTCTTTATATGCCTTATTAATAGCACTGCCATGTACTCTCAAGCTTTAGACACCTATAAAAAGAATTAATTTTTTGTTCATATTGCATTCAGTTAATCACAATTAACTTAAGACTCTGCCTCAAATGTGAAGTTTACTGCATTTGAAATAGGCTAAGATACTGTATTATAAAAACTTGACTCAGGCAGATAGTTGTCCCTCCTCCTCTTTTGTTTGTTTGTTTGTTTGGTCTTATTCCCCTGCTCAGAACGAACTGTTGCTTAGTTTTAAGTACTGTAGAGAGAGAGAGAGAGACTACCAACTCTCAGAGGAATACAGATTTTAGGCCTCTTGCTTTCTTTGTGGTTCATAATTTTACTGAAGAAGTAATTTTTTTTTAAGGTGCTTTGATGTGCCACAGGCTACATTAAAAAATAAATATAAAGAAAGAATATAAAAATGTGTTAATTAAAGGGTTTGTTATTACCTATCCTGCTTACTTGAAAATAGCCTTTTTTTCATGAAAGATACATAATTTGGGTAATCTAGAGTTGGTCAGAATGGTTTTCAAGTTCCAGCATGTTTTTAGAGGCCATTTCACTCATTCCATCACCCAGCACATCTTATGGCACTATCACTCTTGGTTTTTTTCTTTTGTTTTGTTTTGCCTATCACTCTTGTTTTCCTCTCTCTCTTTCTGTAGTATTTCCTAGATGGTTCTCTTCTGCCCAGAACTATACTGGAGACAAACTTCTTTTTTTTTTTTTTAAAGATTTTATTTATTTATTTGACAGAGAGAGATCACAAGTAGATGGAAAGGCAGGCAGAGAGAGAGAGAGAGGGAAGCAGGCTCCCCGCCAAGCAGAGAGCCCGACGCGGGACTCGATCCCAGGACCCCAAGATCATGACCTGAGCCGAAGGCAGCGGCTTAACCCACTGAGCCACCCAGGCGCCCCTGGAGACAAACTTCTTTCCCCAGCTCATTTTCTACACTCTTGCTGGCTGAGGCATCCATTGTAAATATCTTAACATCACTTTTAGAATGGGCTTTTTTTTTCTTAGTTATTAACATAACTTTAATTTCCTTGTTTCTCCCACTATTAGATGCAACATTCTTCTTCTCGTATAATGTTCCAAAGTTAGTTTTATCTGTTTGACTTTTTTCTAAGTTGATCCTTGCAAACATCTTAACCTGGGTGTGAATAGCTATCGCCCATGGCAATTCTTTTGACTGCCAAATTAAGTTTTCCACACTTAACAAGCTAACAAAATTTTTACTTAACTAAAATAGCACTGTTTAAATGGAGTGTGGTGGTAGAAATGTTCTGTGTTTGCACTGTCAGTTACAGTAGCCAATAACCACATGTGACTGTTGAGCACTTAAAATGTGGCTAGTCCACCTCAGGGACTAAAGTTTTATTTAATTTTAATCTAAATAGCCCTATGTGGCTAATGGCTACCATCTCAAACAGTGTGGGACTAGAATATAATGTTCAGACATTTTAGATCGTAACAGAAATGAGTTTACACCAGCTTAAGGGAAAAAAGAAACAACAGAGATTTATTTTATCATTAACTGTCTATAATAGTGGTGGATCTGATGTTAAACATTATTGAATCCAAGGGCACAAAGGGGACTCTTCAAGGCATTCTATGGTTCTGCTTCTCTTGGGTCTTACCTTTTTCCAGTGTAGATGGATTTTTGTCCTTGTAGCAGGGAACATAATCACAATTCATTCATATCCTGCCCACACATTGACCCAATGGTAAAAAAGCAATCCTCGGGGTGCCTGGGTGGCTCAGTGGGTTAAAGCCTCTGCCTTCGGCTCAGGTCATGATCCCAGGGTCCTGGGATTGAGCCCTGCATCTGGTTCTCTGCTCAGCAGGGAGCCTGCTTCCTCCTCTCTCTCTTTGCCTGCCTCTCTGCCTACTTACGATCTCTGTCAAATAAATAAATAAATAAAATCTTAAAAAAAAAAAAAAAAAGCAATCCTCCCTTTGAGCTTCAGGGGAAAGTTCTAGATAAAGACACTGATTGGCCTGGCATGGCTCATGTGTCCATCCTTGAGATAGTCACTGTGGACAAAGAAATAGGCTATTATGATAAACCAGACCTAGGTCATACTGTTGCCCATGAGAATAAAGGGGGAGTGGGTCCTGTTTTTGAGAACCCAATCAGAACAACGTGGAATAAAGGAGATGCATTTTTCCAAGGGAAGAAGGGGTCCTGGGTAGGTAAATACAAGCTAAATTTTTATATATTAACAGAATTTTTACCATTCATTTCGGTAGTCTATTATAAGTCTAAACTCAGTTATTATAAGTGCTAGAAATCCACATCAAGATAGTTCAAAAGAAATTTTTAAAAGAATGTGGTTCTAAAAAAAAAAAAGAAGAAGAATTTGGTTCTCCTAACTAAAAAGCTTAGAGGTTTTATGCCTTCAGACATAGAACATATGCCTTCAGTTGCTTAAGCAATAATTAGTCTGTATCTCGGTTTCTTGGTCTGGTTTCATTTACGTTAGCTTTGTTCTCAGGCACACCTTCTACACATAAAGATGGACTCTGCCAACATCAAAAGTACATGATGCATTCAGCTGAGGATTTCAGAAGACCTCTTCTCACGTTCACAGTGTTATGCTTAAGGTCCATGTGTTCTCTTTGGGGCCGAGGAGACAGAGCCAAAGGATGGAGTGTCTGGTCAAAGTGATCCAGAGCCCATCTGAATTACAAAGAGTAGTAAAAGGGCAATAGGAATGGAATATAGAACAGACAAAACAGTAATACATTTTTCCTTTTTTTCCTCATTTACATGCTGCCTTTTCATATGAGCCTTTATTAAAAATAATTTTTTGACATGGATTTAATTTACTTCATTGATACACTTTGTACAATGAAAATGAAATAAAGGATCTGTTACCATTTTGTTATTCATATAGAAATGCGATCGAGGGGCGCCTGGGTGGCTCAGTGGGTTAAAGCCTCTGCCTTCAGCTCAGGTCATGGTCCCAGGGTCCTGGGATCGAGCCCCGCATCGGGCTCTCTGCTCTGCGGGGAGCCTGCTTCCTCCTCTCTCTCTGCCTGCCTCTCTGCCTACTTGTAATCTCTGTGTGTCAACTAAATAAATAAAATCTTAAAAAAAAAAAAAAAAGAAAGAAATGCGATCGAAGTTTTGGATGGAAGGACAAATTTTATGATACTTATATAGCATGCATATATATTATGTAAATGATTCAAGGCAAAAGAGATTAGGGAAAGAATAAAGAAAATAACTGTTAGGAAAGGTAAAAAAGTGTTTAAAAATCCTCTTCTAATTTTTTTTGGCTCAGTTTTCTTTGAAAGGCTACACTGATACAATTCTTTAACACATTCCTGAATTAGCATGTATTTCCCTTGCCCGAACATACATATTCTCAATCTCTGAAAATTTTCAATGGTGATATTATAGTAGAACTCCCCAAACAACTTCAGTATCCACTAGTAGAATGTAGGGGACCTTTTTTCTCTTCTACCCTCTAGGTTCTCAGGAAGGATTTGTAACAAAAGAGATTAACAAGACAGAAACAAACAAGTTTATTAATATACTTATCATGGCAGAAACTCAGGGATGAGTAACTCAAAGTCTGGCGTCAACTTGAGTTTATAGAGCATCTTTTTTTTTTTTTTAAGATTTTATTTATTTATCTGACAGAGAGAGAGATTGGAGAGCGCAAGCAGGGGGAGTGGGGTGCTTAGCAGGGAGCCTGACGTGGGGCTCTGTCCCAGGACACTGGGATCATGACCTGAGCTGAAGGCAAACACTTAACGGCTTAACCCGCTGAGCCACCCAGGTGCTCCTAGCATCTTAACAAAAATATCCAATACATTTTCAGAGAATTGACAAGACAAATAAGGATTTTGAGTTTTTAGGGTAGCAAATCGTGGGAAGGTAAGTATATGGGTGAATAATGGAAGATAAAGGCTAGTCAGTAGTTTGTTATGCAGAGTTCTGTGGTGCCAATAAGGGCCTAAAGTTGGTGATTTATGTTCTGTACAAATTTAAGTCCTGTTTCTCGGCAAATGGGAAAGGGCAGAGGGCTTCTTTTGTATCTGCTTCATCTCAGTTGCCTTTAGTTAAAAATAATCCTTATGCCAAAGTGGCATATTTTGGAATGGCAAACTCTGTTACCTTTCTGGGGGAATGGTTAAATTAAAATAATTAAATTGTTGCATAATGGAACATTTTAAAACCATTTAAAATAATTATAGAATAAGATTGGTGGATTATAATAATATCAATGTCATGGTTATGATATTGTACTATAGTTTTATAAGAGGTTATCGGGGAATCTGGGTAAAAGGTGCATAAATCTCTGTATTTTTCTTATAACTCCAAATGAATCTCAAAAAGTTTAATGAAAAAAACTTTAAATCCTAATTCTAAATTCTAAGTGTATTAACATGCACTATTTATTTTTTACTTTTGTAAAAAGATCAGGTTAAGATCTATAGCTACACTGTAACTGTATTAAATTATGCATTGGAAAAAAAGACTAGAGAAAGTATACTAAATGATCACAATGGTTATATCTAAGTTGTTGGATTTTAGATGATTTTCCTCTTCTTCTTCTTACTTTTCATCATTTTGTACATGTCCTATATAAATACATCCTATTGTGAAAACAATACTTGATCTTTTTTTCTCCCAATCCTCAAAAAAGTGAATGTTATCTTTTAAAAATACTTTTACAAATCTTGCTTTCTCAGCATGCCAATGTGAAGGAAAAGATAACCGAATTCCATTACTGAAGGAAGTTTTTGAGGCCTTTCCTAACACTCCCATTAACATCGATATCAAGGTCAACAACAATGTGCTGATAAAAAAGGTATGTGAGCCAGTCCCTCTTCTGGCTGTGTTCTATCAGATTTCACAAACTAAGTAAGGCTACAGTAAGTGACTTCATAGACTGATAATGTTCAAGGAAATGTGATACTCTAGGGATCCGTATTGTTTTAAATAATGCCCTGGTAGAAAATATCACTTTACTGTTGGAAGGCCTATTTTCAGAGCAAGCTGTCCTGTCCCAGTCATGGATAAAACTGAGCTCCTGTGAACCAGTTGTTCTGGCATGGGTGTAATTAACTTCTTCAAATTTATTTGCTTCCTTTGCAGTTAGTTTATATCAAATGAATAAATAGTTGCATTCTATTAGATAAATCACAGAATGGTAAGATGTATGTAATTGCTTATATTTTATAAAATAATCTGAATTCATATATCAGTTCTTCCCAAAGTTTATATTATTCACTGGCAGATAGTCAGTTGTAATCCATTTTTTAAGTGAAGTAACAACGTAAGTGGATTTGCCAGTAGGCGCATGCATAAACTTTTGCATTTTTCACATGCAGGTTTCAGAGTTGGTGAAGCAATATAGACGAGAACACATAACGGTGTGGGGTAATGCCAGTTATGAAATTGTAGAAAAGTGCTACAGAGAGGTAAGCTTCCAAAATGATACAGAATGATCTTTCTTGCTGCTGTTGTAGATCTATAAATGTCACCACAGTAATAATTTTTAAAAGTATCTTATTTCAAATCCTTGATATAAAGACAGATGGTACTGGGTAGAAGCACCTAACCAGAAGTTTAATAATAGAGGTAATGGATTTTTTTTTTTTAAGATTTTATTTACTTATTTGACAGAGAGAGAGATCACAAATAGGCAGAGAGGCAGGCAGAGAGAGAGGGGAAAGCAGGCTCTCTGCTGAGCAGAGAGCCCGATTCGGGTCTTGATCCCAGGACCCTGAGATCATGACCTGAGCTGAAGGCAGAGGCTTAACCCACTGAGCCACCTAGGTGCCCAGAGGTAATGGATTTAATAGAAATCATGTACTTAGGGGTGCCTAGGGGCCTCGGTTGGTTAAGAAACTGCCTTCAGCTCAGGTCATGATCCCAGGGTCCTGGGTTCGAGTCCTGCATTGGGCTCCCCCCACTCTGCGGGGAGCCTGCTTTTCTTTTACCCCCTGCCGGCCACTCCCCCTGCTTGTTATCTCTCTGTCAGATAAAATCCCCCCCCCCAAAAAAAAACAAGAAAAGAAAAGAAATGTACTTGGGGCTGGCTTACAGAATTCTTATTTTCACATGCTAATATTGTTGCTTGCCAACATTTTATTATGTACATTATGAGACAAAATATGATTCCTGTTTTTTAATGTCTGTTTTTTGTTAGGTTATAGAAATTTTTGTGTAATTTTAAATTGAGGAAAAGATTTTAGTCCTTTGACTCTAGAGTTCAAGCTTCTCTGTTCCCTACCTCCCAATCAGAATTAATCAAATTAAGCCAGGATCATAGTTATCAGGTGGTATATAAAAGTAGGGCCATCTACCCGCTGAAATTTTTCTGTTTGAAGAAAATATATCTATAAAAATTAATTTGATATACTTTAAAAAGTTTTTTTAAGATATTTTATTTATTCATTTGAGAGAGAGCTCACAAGCAAGGGGAGAGGCAGAGGGAGAGGGAGAAGCAGACTCCGCTGAGCAGGGAGCCTGATGCGGGACTCGATCCTAGAATCCTGGGACCATGACCTGAGCTGAAGGCAGACACTTAACCGTCTGAGCCACCCAGGCATCCCGATATATTTTTTTAAATGAATTTTTATTCTAGTTTCTGATAATTTTCTGTGAATTTTTCTTTTCTATTTTTTTTTTAAGATTTTATCCATTCACTTGACAGAGAGAGAGAGATCACAAGTAGGCAGAGAGGCAGGCAGAGAGAAAGGGGGAGGCAGTCTCCCCGCTGAGCAGAGAGCCTGATGCAGGGCTCGATCCTAGGATTCGGAGATCATGACCTGACCTGAAGGCAGAGACTTAAACCACTGAGCCACCCAGTTGCCCCAATTTGATATATTTTGACATGGTATGCTAAGCCTCTCTAAGCAAGTTTAGCTATATACTATATGTATTATAAGTATGGCTTATATGCTATAGCAAGTATAGCTAGGAGAATATGAAATTCAAAATGTTAAAAAACCTTAAGCATGAAAGACTCTCTTTCAGAATACAAATGATAGTGGTGATAGGGCAGAAGAAATACTGTGACACAAATAGTAATTCAAAATACAAAGATTTCTTTTGGGAAGGCCTTCCTTCCTAGCAAAGAAGGTAAAAATATAGATCCAGAATGCACCATTATAATTAAAAGTACAGTTAAAGCCCTCATTAAAGCAGGTAATTTTTATGTATGTGCCACAGGCCCTCTGAGATTCCAAGGTTGCTTGTGTACAAAAGAAGAAAACAGCGATCATTGGGATGAATGGCTTCAGATTGCTAAGAATTTAGTGTTAAGACTTTTCCCTAACTAATTGTTGTCTAATGGTATTTTCACGTATCATTAAAAGTGACTGTACTGGAGGTCTTGTCGCCTGCTGGTTGTTTTACATAACTCGAATGTTTTTAAAAAATAAAAAATAGTGATAACAGCAAATGCTGGAGAAGATGAGGAGAAGCCGGATCTCTCTAGCTTGCCTGTGAGAATGTAAAATAGTACAGCCACTCTCTTCATTCACTGGGTGGTTTCTGACCAGACTAAACATAAACTTCCCATATTAACCAGCAGTCTCACTCTTGGGCATTTACCTCAGAAAAATGAAAACGTATGCACATAAAAACCTGTATATGAATGTTAATAGCAGCTTTGTTTATTATAGCAAAATACTGGAAACCAACCAAAATGCCCTTCAACAGGTAGATGACTAAACAAACTGACATATCCACATGATACAATACTATTCAGTCATGAAAGGAAATGAACTATTGATACCTGTAACAACTTGGGCTGTCCTAATACTCAAAGACATTTTGCTTGGTGAAAAAAATTAACCTCAAAAGATTACATACTGGAATCTCTATATGATTATGATTATGATTATGATTATTTAAGGATTTTATTTATTTATTTGATAGAGACATAGCAAGAGAAGTAACACAAGCAAGGGGAGTGGGAGAAGGAGAAGCAGGCTTCCCACTGAACAGGGAGCCTGATGCAGGACTCCATCCCAGGACCCTGGGTTCATGACCTGAGCAGAAGGCAGATGCTTAAAGACTGAGCCACCCAGGCACACTGGAATCTCTATATTATACACCTGAAACTAATATAACACTGTATGTTAACTAAGTGGAATTTTTTAAAAAAGAAAAAAAAAACTTAACAAAGAAAAACCAAAAAACAAAAAGGTTACATACTATATGATTCCATTTATGTAACATTCTCAAAACTGTACACATTGAAGAGCAGATAAGTGGCTACCAAGGGATAGAGACTGAGGGTCAGGTAGAGAGTGAGGGCAAATACCAAAAGGTAGGAGGAGGGAGTTGTGTGTGATGGAACTGTTCTGTATCTTGCTTGTGGTGGTGGTTAAAGAAATTGATACACTGTTAAAACTGCACTAAACCAGGGTGCCTGGGTGGCTCAGTTGGTTAAGCATTTGCCATTGGCTCAGGTCATGATCTTGGGTTCCCGGGATTGAGACCTGCATCAGGCTCTCCACTCAGTGGGGAGTCTGCTTCTCCCTCTTCCTGTCCCTCCTGATCCCTCTCTCACTCTCTTTCAAATAAAAAAAACTGCATTAACCCAAACACATGCACAAATGAATGCAGATTTTAAAAGTGAAACTGAGTAAGGTCTATAGTCTAATTAACAGTGATATGCTGGGCCAGGAGGGACTTAAAGAAAAGAAGAAAAGAAAGGGGAAAACAGCAACAAAAAACCCCAGCGATAAACCAGTGTCAAGTCCTGGTTTTGATGTATGACAGTTACAACAAATGTTACCATTTGGAGAACCTTAGGTTAAGGGTTCATAGGACTCTGTTTTTACAAGTTTTTGTGACTCTAGTGTTTCAAAATAAAAAGTCCACTTTTGACCCAGAATCAGAGAACTTTTCCCTTGATTCACATGTTTTTCTTGAAGACTCTGGCTTTTTGTCATTTTAGAATTTAAAAACTCCCAAAAGGGGGCGCCTGGGTGGCTCAGTGGGTTAAAGCCTCTGCTTTCGGCTCAGGTCATGATCCCAGGGTTCTGGGATCAAGCCCCACATCGGGCTCTCTGCTCAGCAGGGAGCCTGCTTTCCTTCCTCTCTCTCTGCCTGCCTCTCTGCCTACTTGTGTTCTCTGTCTGTCAAATAAATAAAATCTTAAAAAAAAAAAAAAAAGAACTCCCAAAAGTTCCAGCAGTAATTTTTGAACAGGGCAGTAAAAATGTCTCAATCAGGGGCGCCTGGGTGGCTCAGTGGGTTAAGCTGCTGCCTTTGGCTCAGGTCATGATCTCAGGGTCCTGGGATTGAGTCCCACATTGGGCTCTCTGCTCAGCAGGGAGCCTGCTTCCCTCTCCCTCTCTCTCTTTCTCTGCCTGCCTCTCTACTTGTGATCTCTGTCAAATAAATAAATAAATCTTTAAAAAAAAAATCTCAATCATATTTGTTATTCATATAATGAACATGTCATATAATTAAGTCATGCATCTTTTATAATTCTAAAAGTATGATTTATAAGAATTCTACATTAGCCCTTTAATTCCCAAATGCTAGAAACTAAAAATACAAAGATAACTTGGCTAATTGAATTTAAATTTTAAAAAATGTATAAAAAGAAAAATGGGGCACACAGTGGGTAGGGGAAAACATGGGGCCCTTAGTCCCACATAATGACTTTTAATTCACTCTTACTCAATGGAGTAGTTCTTAACCTTGGCTGTGTGTTAGAATCACCTGAAAAGTCTCAAAAAACTACAAATGCCTGGGTGCCATTTCATAAATTCTATTTATTCAAGTATAATTGAAACACGATGTGATACTAGTGATTCCACAAATTATATTTATGCTGTGCTCACGAGTGGAGCTAGCACCAGTCATCATGTAACAGTATTACAATACCATTGACTGCATTCCCTGTACTGTCCCTTTTTACCCCCATGACCTATTCATTCCATACCTGGAAGCCTGTGTCTCTCCCTCCCCTTCACCCACCCCCCCTCCCCCCTCCCCCTCTCCCCTCCCCCAACTCCCCCTCTTCCCTCCCCCACCCCCCTCCCCTCCCATCTGGCAACCATCAGTTTGTTTTCTGTATTTATGGGTCAGTCTCTGCTTTTTGTTTGTTTTGCTTTTTAGATTCCACACATAAGGGAAATCATTATGGCATTTGTCTTTCTCTGTCTGCCTTATTTCGTTAGTATAATACCCTCTCAGTCCATCCAAGTTGTAAATGGCAAGATTCCCAGATGTTCTACTTTAGAAGATATGGAGTGGCCCCGGTTACGTCACTGGTGGGTCAGCATACCAAAGCCCGCCCTCTCCCACCCTGGGCAGCCTGGCATGGCTTTCCGGAAGTACCGGTTACTGTTTTTAGTTCTCTGGGTCCAAAGCTGTTTAAGTTTTGAGGGTTGACCCCAACCCAGTTTTTCCCATAAGCTCTTATTCTTAGTGCATGAATTTGCAGAAGTCAAGTTTTTCAGGGACTTGTACACTGTGTTACAGCTGAAACACCTGTATATAAATTAGCCTAAAATGTTACAAAGCAGCATGTGAACATAGGTGCAGAAGAAATCCTCAAACTTACTTACTCTGTTTTTTTTTTTTTTAAATAAAGAAGTGGGTAATTTAGAGGTAATATTTAAAATAAATTACTTTTCTGCATGACTTTTTCAATATATTACTTTTGTGTAGAAAAAAATAAACTGTAGGGCTCATGGGTGGCTCAGGCTGTTGAGTGTCTGCCTTTAGCTCAGGTCATGCTCTCAGGGTCCTGGAATGGAGTGCCCCCTGCTCAGCAGGGAGTCTGCTTCTCCCTCTGCCCCTCCCTCCTGCTCGGGATCTCTCTTTCTCTCATGCTCTTTCTCAAATAAATAAATAAAATATTAAAAAAAAGAAAAATCAACTTTACCATAATTTCTGTTTGTTTTAAAGACAAATATAGGAGGGGCTAGGGAGATGGGGATATGAGGGGCCATTTACTGAGCACAGAATTTCAGTTTTACAAGATGAAGAGAGTTCATGTATATATATATATATATATATATATATATATGGCTTGCATTCTAAGGGTTTTGGGACCTTGAACACATTTTGCAATAGAAATCTAAAATGATGGCTAGATTCTTGGACTAGCTTACAAAATCCTATTTATATTTGATGCGTAATATAGTTGAAAGATGACATATTTGCAACAGTGTTTATATTTTATCTATAGATGTATCAATATCATATCCTGCTTAACTAATATATAACTATATCTATAGATAGGAACACCTATATATATCTCTATATGGTATATATGAATATATATCGATCTTTAGTTAATATTTTTTTAAATGGGAGTAAGGTTACTGAATATTTCATTTATTCATTTCCTTATCTTATTCCATTTGGTTCTCTAATGATAAGCACTATCACCAACAGACAGAAGTGGTGTAGCAAGCAGAGAATAGGGAATACAGAAACTCAAGTATCATCAATTAACAGTATAGGGCTCCACGACAGATCCTGACCCATTTGGCAGGGACTAGCCATTTTTAAGTGTGGTAGGTTTAGAAATGGATATTGATAATTCAGGGAGTACTCTTAACAAATGTCCAGATACAGTCTTGGAAATTTTGAGGATGTGAAATAATCCTCTTTATTTGAGCAGTTGTGAAGTAACATAATATTGCTTGTGTCTTTTAGAATTCAGATATTCCTATTCTCTTCAGTCTACAACGTGTTCTGCTCATTCTTGGCCTTTTCTTCACTGGCCTCTTGCCCTTTGTGCCCATTCGAGAACAGTTTTTTGAAATCCCAATGCCTTCCATCATACTGAAGTAAGTGGTTACTCTGTTTTCATCAGTTATCATTACAGGGGGACTAAGATCAAGTCTCACTAATATCAATGTAAATGATAAAGAATAGGTAGCTATAGGGGCACCTGGCTGGCTCAGTCAGTAGAGCATGTGACTCTTGATCTCGGGGTTTTAAGTTTGAGCCCCACATGGGGGTTTAAAAATACAATCTTAAAAAAAAAAAGAATAGATTGCTATAGTTATTTACATGTTGGGTTAACTGACCTGTATTAATAATGCTTTTTGATATAATTAAGACACATTTTTCTAAAATGAATAATATTGTAAATATTTCATCTGGACCCATTTCAGGTAACAATGACTTTCTGTGCCTGTGTACTCAGAAGTCAGGTACAAAGAATTGACCTTAAATGTTGAAGCTTAATACTTCCTTTATTCTAACACGTAATAGCAGTTGCCCTCCAACTGCCCTAACTTATTTATACCTCAGTCACAATATGCAGCTGAAATTCCATTAAACTCCAAATTTGTGGGGCACCTGGCTGGCTAAGAGCATGGAACTCTTGATCTCAGGGTTGTGAGTTCAAGCTCCACGTTGGGCCTAGAGATTACTTTAAAAAAAAAAATTACATTAAATGTGATCTCACCTGCATGGAAACTTTTTTCATCCCCAAACAGAACTTTAAAAGATCAAGCTGAACATTAGTGCAGCAGTCATTAGGAAATATTGGTAAGAAAAACAATTTGGTCGGTATCGTTGTATTCAGCATTTATGTTTCATGCTTGTTTTCCAATTTGAGTTTCTTCGTGATGAGCATGTTTATTTTATCTATTCCCAATTATATTTATGGGCAGCCTTTGTAGCTATTTCTCAGACAAAACAGAAATCACTTCTTGCCTACAAAGAAACCATTTTCATTTGCTGGATTAAAATGATTCCTGACCATTTACTCCTGAAATACTTAAGCTTCCTATGGCTTGGCATGAACTGTTGTCCTCTCTAGATTATCTCCCATGTGTTTCTTTTAGGAGCAGGTATTACTGAAATACAAATGAACAAACTTCATAGATTAATCTTTTCTCTAAAAAGTAATCATGGATTAAGACAAGGTAGAATATGGTGTGTGTTTTAACTTTTTTTTTTAATAGATGAAGGTGGGTACTTCCTAAGACAACATAATAATTTCTTTAATGAGGTAGTGTTTGATACACTAAATCCCTGAGATTCCAGAGGTTGCAACCAGTATTTTCAATCTGGGCTACAGTTAGGAAAAAGAGGATTTTATTTAGAGAGCTTTGAAGAAAAACTGAATTCAGAGAGAAAGGGGAAAAAAAGGAATTTAAGTGCGGAGACTCAGAATTATTCCAAGAGTACGGACAAGAGGCACTAGAAAGGAAACAAGAAGTGAAGATCCAGGGGGAATGGAAATCGCCGTATGCTGTTAAACTTAAAAGTTTTCAGAGTAGAGAGAGGCTAACCAGAGATATGCTCTGGGTACAATCCAACTTTAATGATACAGGTAGTTGTGCTACTCCAGGAAGCTGAGGAAACTGACGAAACTCAGTATAAGTCCAAAGGTCAAGTATAGAAAAGATAATTGAAAAGAACAGGTCCTAGGTTCAATATTTGCAAATCAATCATGCTATATCACATTAATAAAAGAAAGGATAAGAACCATATGATCATTTCAATAGATGCAAAAAAAGCATAGGGAAAAGACAAAGTACAACATCCACACATAATAAAAACCCTCAACATTAAAATAAAGGCCATATATGAAAAACTCACAGCTAATATCCTAAATGCGGAAAAACTAAGAGCTTTTCCTCTGTAATCAGGAACAAGACAGGGATATCTACTCTTACTAGTTTTATTCAACATGGTACTGGAAGTCCTAGCCACAGCAATCAGACAACAAAAGGAAATAAAAGTCATCCAAAGAGGCAAGGAAGAAGTAAAATGTTAACTATTTGCATATGATACTACATATAGAAAACCAAAAAGACTCCACCAAAAAACTGCTAGAACTGATAAATTCAGCAAAGTCGGAGGATACGAAATCAACCTATAGAAATCTGTTGCATTTCTATAAACCAATAACGAAGCAGAAAGAGAAATTAAGGAATCACTCCCATTTACAATTGTACCAGAAACACTCAGATACTTGGAATAAATCTAACCAAAGAGGTGAAAGAATATACTCTGAAAACCATAAAACACTGGTGAAAGAAATTAAAAATGACACAAAGAAATGGAAAGAGATTCCATGGTCATGGATTGGAAGAACAAATACTGTGAAAATGTCTATACTGCCCAAAGCAATCATTTAATGCAGTCTCTATCAAAATACCAACAGCATATTTCACAGAGCTGAACAAACAGTCCTAAAATTTGTATGGAACCACAAAAGACCCAAAAGAGCCAAAGCAACCTTGAAAAAGAAAAACACAGCTGGAGGCATCACAATTCTGCACTTCAAGTTATATTGCAAAGCTGTAGTAATCAAAACAGTGTAATACCGGCACAAAGACAGACACACAGATTAATGGAATGGAATAGAAAATCCAGAAATGAACCCACCATTATATGGTCAATAATCTTCGACAAAGCAGGGAAGAATATCCAATGGGAAAAAGAATGTCTCTTCAACAAATGGTGTTGGGAAAACTGGACAGCAACATGGAAAAGAATGAAACTAGACCATTTTCTTACACCATACAGAAAGAATAAATTAAAAATGGATTAAAGACCTAAATGTGAGACCTGAAACCATAAAAATCCTAGAAGAGAACACAAGCAGTATCTTTTTTCTACATACATCTCCTGAAACAAGGGAAACAAAATCAATAATAAAATATTGAGACTACATCAAAATAAAAAAACACAGCAAAGGAAACAATCTAATGAAACTAAAAGGAACCCACAGAATGAAAGAAGGTATTTGGGAAAGGGTTAGTATCCAAAATATATAAGTTCTTATAAATGCAGTACCCCCAAAATGAATAATCTAATTTAAAATGGGCAGAAGACACAATGGCTAAAATAACTCAAGAGGGTGCCTGGGAAGCTCAGATGATTAAGTGGCTGCCTTCAGCTCAGGTCATGATTCCAGGGTCCTGGGATTGAGCCCACATTTATCTCCCTGCTCTGTTGGGAGCCTGCTTCTCCCTCTCCCTCTCCTTCTGCCTACTTCTCTGCCTGCTTGTATTCTCTCTCTCTGTCAAATAAGTTAATAAAATCTTTAAAAAAAAAACAACACAACTTAAGAAACAACACGTGTTGGCAAGGATGTGGAGAAATGGGTGAATCCTCATGCACTGTTGGAGGGAATGAAAACTGGTGCAGCCACTGCAGAAAACAGTAATGAGGTTCCTCAAAAAGGTAAAAATAGAACCATCCTACAATCGAGCAATCATACTACTAGGTATTTACCCAAAGAATATAAAAATACTAATTCAAAGGGATATAGGCATCTCGATGTTTATAACAGATTATTTACAATGATCAAGTTATTGAAAACAGCCCAAGTGTTCATCAATAGATGAATGGATAAAGAAGATATAGTATATATACATATACTATGGAATATTACTGAGCCATAAAAACAAATGAAACCTTGGTATTTGCAATGACATGGATGGAGCTAGAGAGTATTATGCTAAGCAAAGTTAAGTCAAAGAAAGACAAATACTATATGATTTCACTTCTATGTGGAATTCCAAAAACAAAAAAATGAGCAAAAGAAAAAGAGAGGCAAACCAAAAAACAGACTCTTAACTAGAGTCAAGGTAACCATCAGACTGGTAACCATCAACTATGATGGTTACCAGAAGGAAGGTGGGTGGTGGGGATGGGTTAAACAGGTGATGGGGATTAAGGAGTGCACCTATTATGATGATCACTGAGTGACGTATGGAGTTGTTGAATCACTATATTGTACACCTGAAACTAATATTATGCTGCATGTTAACTAACCGGAATTAAAAAAAAAAAAAAAAACCCGAACAGAAAAAAAGAAAGAACATGGCCCATGTCTTCAATTATTGAAAGGAGAAGAAAAAACATGCTTCTAAGGTTTTTTAGTCACATTTTTGCCCCATATATCTTTTCATTTGTAGTAAAGTTTGGTTGTATGTTTAAGTTTACTAAATACCAGTGCTCACTTCAGCAGCAAATGTACTAAATCTACTACTACTAAGTTATACCAGACAAAGTGAGAGAAAGAAGCTTCACCAAAAAAGAGAAGAGACACGAGCCCCAGGCACCCAGGGTCTAGAAAGAGAACTTTGATTATTTTTTTAACCTTTTAGTAGTGGTAGCAAAAAGTTATCTCAAAATCAATAGAGTCAGAGAACCCAAGTAGGTTTTAATTTACTTTTTTTTTTAACAAATATTTTTTGAGCACATACTAAATGCAAGGCAACTGTTTGTTTTTGAACTCATTTTATTTTATCACACTGATATCTTTCTGTGTTTCTGATTTATGATTCAAATTTTATTTTGCCTCAGGCTAAAAGAACCCCACACAATGTCCAGAAGTCAAAAGTTTCTCATCTGGCTTTCCGATATGTAAGAATTTTAGTTTCTTGATATACGAGTTATTGTTTTAGCTGTATCTGTTAAATACCGTGTTTGTAATTTTAGAGCAAGCTTTCTACATGGGGTTTGTAACAAGGACACGATGAGCATGTACTCCATGGGTGGATGTATATGAATCATTTAGAACTACACTAATTACTAGTCTCAAAACCTTAAGAGGAATCTTGAGAGATAATCTCCTCCAGCTTCAGGGGCAACCAAAGGCAGATGATTAACTTCGGGCTCTCTAGCTAGTTAGTAGAAGAGGTGGCATGGCATTTGCTCTCTGCACTAAACCACAGTCAAAGACGTGGTGGAAAGAAGTGTGTATATAACCGTACAACTGTATGTAAAAGTGTATACTGACTAGTGGCATATTCCTATGAAAAATCTGCTGCACGAAGACTTAACAGCAGACAGGAAGCCCCACCTTTAGGGTGGAGATCAACTTTAAAGAAAATACTTTCCCTTCTCAGACATGTTGTGTTTAATTTTAGGTAAATACCACGATGTTGCTGTGCTATATTTTGCTTTATTTTATTTTATTTTTTATATTTTGCTTTAAAATGGAACCCGGAATGCTTAAATAATAGTCCTAAATCACAACCTTTTAAATTACTTAGCTCCTCTTGCAGAGTTGGAAAACTAGTTTTTATCTTTTCTCTGTTTATTCTTTTTTGCTTTATTCCTGATTCAATTTCTGGTTTTCAGGGTTGCATTTTTAATTGGTATTAAGTACATGTGGTTTTTAGTCTCTGTTATTTCATCATTTTAACAGACATAAACAGAATAGAAACAATATGTTTAACTTGCCAGTAGAGTTCGTTCCCATCCTGCTCAAGTGATTTATAGTCTAAGAGTTCACTTTTAAGTCAATTATTTAGCACTTTTAAAAAGCGCAGGTTTCCTATTTATAGTGTAATTAATGGACATTAGGTTTCTAAGATAACACAGGAAAGACTAATCCATGATGTAAATGAACTGTATTATAGAACCTGGCCCAAGTTCATGGCCTTATTTTAACTTGGAAAGTTAGAAACAGACTTCTCAGCTCTTTCTCACTTGTTAACGGTGTCAACAGGGAAAGCAAGGAAGCCTCTTGTCTACAGAGCAGGTTTGGTAAGATTGGGTCTCCTGAGGATCTAGTTACAGAAGAAATAGAAAGGAGGTTCTGGTGGTCCACCAGCAAGCAGCCAGCAGTGAAAGGAGATTGAGCAGTTAGAACATAAATATCCACCGCAGTTATGACTTGAGGTGATTGCTTTACTGCCGCTAAAGCACTGGGATAAACTCTAAATGGACTAAATTAGGACTAAGAACTAAGAGGTAAGAGTATCTAAATCTGTTCTGCTTTTCTTTTCTAGCTTACTAATGAGAAAAGCCTTGTTTGACCACCTCACTGCCAGAGGCATTCAGGTAAGTTTCTGGAATGACGCATTTTGGAGATAGTATAGCTCACCAGTTTAACAGTAGTGTAAAGGGCAGGAACTTGATTTGGTTCCAGCTCTGATGCTGCTGCTTTACTGGTTCACCTATGAAGACCTTAAGCTCTGCCTTAAACTTAACAAGAAAGCACTGGCATTTTAGTAACTGGAGTCCACATATGTATAGGTGAGAGTAACTGAAGCCAGAGGGTGGGACAGTGTATGTTTAATGAGTAAAGTAAAAAAAATTTTAAACGGTTCAATGATTTCTTAAAATTACAGGCTTAAAATGTTGTTTCTAAGTATGCTGAGATTGTAGTGTATAAATAGTGTAGGCTATTAAAAAATAATTTTCTACTTTTAACCTTTCATCTCATACTTCTCATGCTTCTAATTTTCAGGTGTATATTTGGGTTTTGAATGAAGAACAAGAATACAAACGAGCTTTTGATTTGGGAGCAACTGGGGTAATGACAGACTATCCAACAAAGCTTAAGGACTTTTTACATAATTTTTCAGCTTAGAAAAGGAGGTACTCAGAAGCACTCAAAGAAAGATGAAAAGAACTAAAGAAAAAAAAAAACAAAACAAGTTTGCCATCATTTCCCTAAGCCATTTCCAGAATGGTAAAGGTTTAATCATTTAAGTTTTAATTACCTCATTTTTAAGCTTGTCTGAGAATGTAGAAACTATATATTGTATATTTATTTTAAAGAATATTGCATATTTTACATGTGTAAATAGTTTGTTTAGAATGATAACTGGTTATGAGATATAAGTAGAAGATTATTGATCAAGAGTTCTGTATATTATGCAGTATTCTACTATTATAAGTAATTATAAAATCAAAGACTTTTGAATAGATTTGATACTAGCCTTCACTGGAATAAGATCAACTAATTAGTAAAGCAAATTATTGAGGGCCACTACAGCTATGCTGAGTTGTCTTGTTATTTCTAGTACATCTTAGTTTAAAAGGAAAGAAAATACAGTGGGAGGAGAGCTTAGAAATCAGTGATACAGTTAATCTGACAGGCTCTGTTAACTTTGTTAACAGAAGGCAGTCTCCATAAAAACTGAAACTAATACTTGATCAGAAATAAAAACTGTAGACAATTAGATTTCTTGGTTGTTGCTGTTAATGGGGACATTCTGTTTGGAATCTCCTTCAGGTGTAAAATTGTTACCATGTCCTTTCTTTCTGGTAGACATTAAAATTGGACTTCTTAAATGTAAATTAAGACAAGACCCAAATAGTCATATATTTATGTTTCCTCTAAACATTATGTTTCCTCTAAACAAAATTTTCCAATTTTTGGCACTGACTAATAACTGTTTGGGCCTACATCTAGATTATAAATAACGTCTTAAATCCTAGTAATCATATGAAACTGACGAAAGTACATATCATTGTTTCCAATACATATGGTATAAACCACCTATTCCTGATCTTTAAGGTTTAATTCTTCTGACTATTAAATGGAAGCAGAATTTCTCAAAGCATTAGGCATCACTTCCTCTCCTTTTCTGATATGACTCCATGTAAATCTTTTTCTAATCTTTTTGACTAATTTTCATGATCTCTTTGGGAGGTAAATATACTCTGGGATAATAAGGGTCTTTTACCTAGATTACATCTCTCATTTGGAGTTTGCCAGCTCACAGCTAAGAAGGATGATCATACACCTACCTATCCCTTGATGACATAAATAACATTTGCTTTTTGTTTGTTTGTTTATCTAAACTGAAATAAAGTTTTACAAGAACAAAATAAGGTTTCTTCATTGCTTTTTTGCAGTTGTAATTCCAAATGTGCCTTATAGATTTGGGGCTGCAGAATTTAATGAGGTGATAAATTGATAATGTGCGTAAGTACACCTGAGATTTCTCTCTAGAGTACGAAAAGCAAAAGAAAATATGGAAACACTCTTATGGCCCGGAAGTGGCTTCTTGGCATTTGAACAAATAACTTGGGCAGGTGATCCATTAAATCAGTCATTTTTACTTTCATGTACTATAATTTATGGTTATAGTTGCTAGGGATTATTTTGATCACTTTAATATGATTCTTTTTTGTTATTTCTTTTTGAATTTTGCTTTGTTATGATTCAGATCAGCTCATATCATAAGGCCAGCATATATTTTGTGTCAACAGTAGGAGATAAAGTACCCTATATGGTAAAGATGTTTAGGAAGTCATATTTTAAAAGCCTGCTAATTCTAGGATGCCTGCCTGGCTCTGTTGGTAGAGCATATAGTTCTTGATCTCAGGGTTGTGAATTTGAGCCCCATGTTGGGAGTAGTTTACTTAAAAAAAAAAAAAAAGTTTGCTGATTTTATAGTCGAGGTGACTTTAATTCACTTAACGTAAGTATTTACAATAACAAGAGAGTTGATATTCATGACCAGATAACATCTCAGTACTGCTTTACTGATTGAAGCATCACATTTTATCTGTTTATTTATTTACAGTAATCTCTATGCCCAATGTGGGGCTCAGACTCCAAGACCCCAAGATCAAGAATCACATACTCTACTCCAACTGAGCCAGCCAGGATCCCCTGGAACATCACTTTTTTTTTTTTTTAAGGTTTAGTTTATTTATTAGAGAGAGAGAGCGCACACGTGCACAGGAGTGGGGGTGGAGTGAGGGGCATAGGGAGAGGGAGAGAGAGAGAAGCAGACTCCCTGCTGAGCAGGGAGCCCGATGTGGGGCTCCATCCCAGGACCCCGGGATCATGACTTGAGCTAAAGGCAGACGCTTAACCGACTGAGTCCAGGCACCTCATGGAGCATCACATTTTAAAAGAGCTTAAATACTCTTTCATTTTGAGATAGCTATTGCTAGGCATAGCGGGAAAGGTTGAGAACTGGTCACAAGATATGATTAGACCTTTCTACTGGGATGAAGCTGGCAGTAAATATGACAGGCCCAGCTATATGTCTAGTCTAGCATGCCAACAGTAGCCTAAGTATGTGGCAATAGGCAACAGTTGATCAAGCATTTTAGCAAGTAATTGGCAGGAGGGAGTTTTAATAAGAAGTAGTGAGAGCTTCCCTATAGGACTAAAGACCTAGGCATGTTACCAAGGCAAAACAGAACACAAGGTAGTAGTGAGAGCTTCCCTATAGGACTAAAGTCCTAGGCATGTTACCAAGGCAAAACAGAACACAAGGTAGTAGATGGGGTTCCTGGGTGGCTCAGTTGTTAAGTGTCTGCCTTCGGCTCAGGTCATGATCTCAAGGTCCTGGGATCAAGCCCTGCATCAAGCTCCCTGCTCTGCAGGAAGCCTGCTTCTCTCTCTCCCACTCTGCCTGCTTGTGTTCCCTCTCTCGCTATGTCTCTCTCTCTGTCAAATAAATAAAATCTTTAAAAAATTTTAAAAAGCTCACAAGGTACTAGGACTAGGACCCAGGTCTTAGAAAGAAGCTCATTTAATAGAACTGAAGAACAGAGTGATAACATTGGACTAATTATAGGAGTAAGATGCTACTGAGTCCCAGAATTATTAAACCTCATGTTTCTGGCCAGGACTGGTTCTAGAAATAGGAGTGGGGCCCTAACAACAAGTGGGCATCTAGGAGCCACAACTGTGGAGAAAGAATGGCTGCAATGGGTTGGGAAAAGAGAACATAAAACATAAATTGTAGGATGTTGTAGTATGGGAAATCATTAACAGAATGACTCATACATGAATGATTCTGCTTAGAGCTGTGCAACATGGTGGTGGTGGAAAGGTGCATTTAAACAGTATACAGGGAGGGGCGCCTGGGTGGCTCAGTTGGTTAAGCATCTGCCTTTGGCTCAGGCCATGGTCTTGGGGTCCTAGAATTGAGCCCCGCATCAGGCTTCCTGTATTCAGTGGGGAGTCTGCTTGTCACTCTTCCTCTGCTCCTTCTCCCTGCTCATGCTCTCTCTCTCTCTCTCAAACAAATAAAATCTTAGGAAAAAAAGAAAAAGTTACAGTTGAAGGAAAGTCATGAGTGCCAGGTTAAAGAGTCTGTTCTGAATAGAACCTCTTTCAAGCCAGTGGCTAAACTCAAGACATTAAAAACAAGAACCAGGGTCACCTGGGTGGCTCAGTGAGTTGGGCCTCTGCCTTCGACTCAGGTCGTGATTTCGGGGTCCTGGTTCCGAGCCCCACATCGGGCTTTCTGCTTAGCGGGGAGCCTGCTTCTCTGCCTGCTCCCTCTGCCTGCCTCTCTGCCTACTTGTGATCTCTCTCTGTCACATAAATAAATAAAATCTTTAAATAATAATAATAATAATAATAATAAGAAGAAGAAGAAGAAGAAGAAGAAGAAGAAGAACCAAAACTGCTAGGCAGTAATATGACATAATCATTTTAGTACCAAAAGGAAAATGTAATTCACTGTCAGACCAGGCACCAAAATAAGATCAGAACTAAAGCAGTCAGATCCAGGAATCAAAGAGATCAGAATGCTAAGAGCATTCCTAAAGACAATCCCAAGACAATTCCTAAAGCTATGAGTGATGTCTAGCTTTTCTAACTCTTAACATAGCAGACACACTGGAAAGTGGGAACATCCTATAGTATGAAGGAAAGATACAAGCCTAGACCAGAGAACAGTCCAGAAATCGGGTCAGAAGGCTAACCAGATCCAGTTGATCTTAAATTGCACACAAACTAATTTGGCAATAGTGTACAGACTGGGAGACTCTTGCAGCAATCCAGGCCTGAGGTAATAAGGGTGCAAATGAAAGTGGTGGCAATGTAAGTAGAGAAACAATGAATTTACGTTTCTCTGAAAGGAGGAATTAATAAGAGTTTGTGACTAGAGCTTAAAAGGAGAAGGGAAAGTCAGTACTCATTCCAAAGTGGCGAGAAAATGGGGAACTTGAAGAAGGGAACCAGTATGATGGTAAAAATAATGACTGTTGTGCTTTTTAAAATGACAGAAAGTTTGAAAGGAGAGAAAGACATTTGAGTGGCTGTGCTTTAAGTATATTAGCCCTTGGAGGAAAGGCTAGTTGGAGAAATAGATTTAGGAGTTTTGTATGCTTTCTAGGTACGATTTTGCAAAGGTAGTACTTTAGAGGTGATGTTAATTCCTTCTCAGGATTCTACGTGCAATTTGAATAGGTTGCTACGCCATACATTTGTCTTGTTTGTCCAGTGGTTTTAAAATTCAGAGGGAAGGTTTCATCATAAGATAACAAGAGGGACCCAGACAGCTTCTACTGGGGGGATGGGGATGACCATGCTAAGAGAAGGCTGAGCAGGTATAGCTTTGTGTTACCCATTCCCAGTTTGACCAGAACTGCTTCACTTTTTTCTGTTTCATATGTGAGTTCCACATAAGGTTTGATTTAAAACAGGAGTTTTCTGCAAAAAATTTTTTTGGCTTTTACAATCTTTGATCTAAGATCTTTTTCCTTTCCAGGCTTTTCCTTCTTCCTTCCCTTCCTTACTTCCTAACTCACTCTAAGCCTTTTTCTTTTCTTTTCTTTTTTAAAGATTTTATTTATTTGAGAGAGAACTGTGCAAGTGCAGGGGTGGGGGGTAGGAGAAGCGGGGCAGCGGGAGAGAATCTTCAAGCAGATTCCACACTGAGCGGAAATCTTTTTTAAAATATTTTATTTATTTATTTATTTGAGAGAGAGGGAGCACGAGCTGGGGCAGAGAGAGAAGGAGAAGCACACTCCCTGCTAAGCAGGGAGCCAGATGTGTGGGACTCAATTCCTGGACCCTGGGATCATGACCTGAGCTGAAGGCACATGCTTAACCTACTGAGCCATCCAGGCATCCCTGACACTATCTTTAAATACATCCTGTCATTCAGAAATTCCAGTGCTATAAATAACATCCTAAGAAAACAGGATAAATGCCCCAACAGTAACTATGAAGAATGAAAAGCTGGAAACAATCTTAACTATGCAACATGAAGGAACTAGTTAAATAAATTACAGATGCACTGAATGATCTCATATTACTGTTCTATATCTACTATTAAGTGAAAAGACATCATAAAGCTGTGCACTGTGTAAACAAAAATATACATACTCATTTTATTTTTTAAAAATGTTTTATTTATTCATTGGACAGAGAGAGACACATTGAAAGAGGGAACACAAGCAGGGGTAGTGGGAGAGGAAG